TGGAAGAAGTGCAGTCAGAGTGCTCCTTGGAGGCCAAGATGACCAAACTTTGTTTCTCATAGTTCATGCATATTGTCAGGAGGGACCTGTCGCTGGAGAAGGATATCATGTTTGGTAAGGTGAAGGGTCAGACAAAAAGAGGAAAACCCCCAACGAACTGGACTGGCCAAGTGGCAGCATCGGTGGACTCAAGCGTGGCAACAGTAATGAGGCTGGCCCAGGATTGGGCAGTGTTTTGTTATGCTTGCATAAGGTCACTAGGGGTCGGTATCAACTGGATGGCATCTAACAACAACAACAATTGTACACTGTAATCTACCTGACATCCTCACCACCTGGATCTCTGTTCCTATGTTTATCCCTTCTTTGACATTGATATCATTTTGATCTTCAGTTGACATCCCAATTCCTTTGAATGCGTTGTTATACTTTTGTTCTGTTCTGAACTCTGCTATTTGTCGACTGAGTTCCAGGTGGTTTTACCATGCCTGTCAATCTCTGGTTGTTGTCTTTTCTTGTTGGTTTTCATTCCAAAGAATTCCCTTTAGGATTGTTTGAAGTGCTGGATTGGCTTTGACAAAATCTTTTAGATTCTGTTTATCCTGGAATGTTTGGATTGTACCATTGTATTTGATTGATAGTTTTGCTGGCTAGATAATTCTTGGTTGGCAGTTTGTTTCTTTTAGGGTTTTGTGTATGTCACCCCATTGCCTTCTTGCCTGCACGGTTTCTGCTGAGAAGTCAGAGTTTAATCTGATTTGCTTGCCTTTGTAAGTGACACTTCTCTTTTCCCTGGCCGCTTTTAGTATTCTCTCCTTATCTTTTGATTTTGGAGAGCTTGATTATTATATGTCGTAGTGACTTTCTTTTGGGGTTTATCCTTCCTGGGATACGATCAGCTTCTTGAATGTTTACCTTCTCATCTTTCAGGATGTTAGGGAAATTTTCTTTCAGATGCTTTTCAACTATCTCCTCTGTGGACTTCTCTGATTCTTCCTGTTGCACAATGCCAATAATTCTTAAATTGTTCCTCTTCGTGTTATCCAGCATGAATCTTAGACTCTCTTCAGATTTTTTTTATCTTTTCTGCTTTCTCTTCTATCTTAGCAGTATTGAGAGATTTGTCTTCCAGCTTGCTAGTTCTGGCTTCCATCTCTTCTATTCTGCTCCTTTCCCCTTTCAGTGTATTGTCCACTTCTGATATTTTATTATTAATCATCTGGACATCTTTTTGCAGGTTTTGAATGGTTTCCAATGCTGTACCAATCTTGTTTGATTGCTCTTGTAGTACTTTCCTGACTTCTTCCTTGTTTTCCTCAACCCCTTTTTGGAGCATTTGATTTTGTTTCCATATCATTCTTCTGAATTCCTTCTCAGGCAAATCCAGAACCTAATCTTCCTCTTCTGAGGAGCCTTTGTCTGTCTCCAGCTCATTTGTCTCAGTTACTTTTTTCTGTTTTTGGACATGTTTTGAAATCTTTTGTTGTGTTTTGTTTGCCATTTCCAGTAGTTATGTTGGGGTTTTTTTTAATGCTTAAATGGATGTTTGTTGTTGTGTTATTAAGTTTACTGGGTGATAGGCTTTCCTTTTTGCACGTAATGCTTAGCAGCTGTTACTGGCTCTTGTCTCAACGGTGGAATATTTTGAGGTATGCTTGTAGCTTGGTTATATGGCCACGATTGTTGTCTCTTCTTGGGTAATGTAGGGAGAAAAAGCTCCCACCTCCAGGAAAACTGTGTGATCAAAAGGACAAAAAGCAGAAACAATATAAAAGCAGAGACAAAAAACCACCACTTTGAAACAAAAATGATACTGTCAGCAACTGTCCAGTCGCCTTGCTACAAAGGCAGTGTGTGTGCACCAAAGAAGTCTCAAGCAGTGTGTTGGGGTGTCCACTCGCTCAGGTCCCTCCTCTAGTCACCATGTAGAGGTGCGCAGATAGATACTGAGAAGTTAATGGGAGATTGTCTACTATTTTTGTCTCTGACGGTCAGTTAGGTATCTGCATGTGCACAGCGTAATTCTTGAGATAGCTGTGCCCTTTTATGTTGGGGTTTTACAGATTGTTCATATGGTTTGTCTGTCAGGTCTGATGGGCCTGTTTTTTTCTTGCTACATAGGCTGGACTAAAGGGTCCTACACAAGTTAATTTTAGGGCTGTGACCCTGAGGCTGATGTCATAAGCAGCTGCTAAGCTGTGCCGTGGGAAAACTGTGGGCTCAGAGCTGGACTTTTTTGGGGGGTTGTGCACCCACCCGGCTGAAGGCATCTGGATTGGGCAAAGAAGACATGACAGGGAAGAGGAGGAAAAAATGTGTAGAATCCCCTGCACCGCATTTTGTAAATGTCACTGCACCACTTTCAGCACTGGTTCCCTGTGCTTGCGTGGCTGTACCCCCGTCCTCTGAACTCTTCCTGGGCAGGGTAGCTGCAGAGGGTGTCCCGTCTCGAGTGATTCCAAACTCAGTATTTTCCTTTATATCGTGATTTTCCCACTTGCGCATGCAGGAAACTGATGTCATGCACCTTATGCTAGCTCCAGAGTGCTGGTGCTGTTCTGTGAGTGCAGTTTCTCTGGGTTTTCAATCCCTCCCCATGGAGCCTTTCCTAGTTGGTTGTCTATGCTGCTGCCAAAACCAGAACTCAAGCAAGATATATTGTAAGTAATTGGAACTTTCCCTTATTTTAAAAGATTTGCATCTTTCTTTCCTATTCAAAGAAAAGGGAGCCTCAAAAAGTTTGTGGAAAATGGAATGATGATGGAATTTTTCACAAACTTTTTTAAGCCCTCCTTGTACATACAAATTTTTAAAAGCATTGTTGAGACACAATTACATACACTATTTGTAATCTGCTTCTCAATCAACATTAGAATCATAAGTCATCCACTGTGCATTAGAATTACCCAAGGAAACTGTAAAAATGCATGTTCCTAGGTCTAGTAATTGTGATTTAGTCAATCAGGAGTGGAGTTCAGAATTTCGAATGTTTAGCTAATGCTCTTGTTAAGTGCCATCCAGACAGTTCAGACTCATAGTGACACTGTATAGGGTTTCCAAGGAGTAGCTGGTGTTTGAACCTCTGACCTTGAGGTTAGCAGTCCAGTGCTTATTCCAAAGGGCCAATTTATGGTTCAAGGATATCACCTGAAAATATAGATGTTTCCCAAATAATCCATTTTTCAACCCAAAGAGAAATGTATAATTTATAATCTTACTTCACTTAATACACATTTGTTACTAAGTGCTGTCGAGTCTGTTCAGATTCAGAGCAACCCTATATAGGTTTTCCGAAGAGCGGCTGAGGGGTTTGAACCACAGACCCTTGTAGTTAGCAGTCCAGTGCTTCTCGTAGTACTAGATCTCCTAGTACACACTGCATGCAAATAAATACATATAAATGCATGCAATTAAATACATATAAATAAATAAATCTCAAACAAATTAGAGCAAAGCAAATAAAAAGTAGGCCACACATACATGAATTACTATATAAACTAAACTGAAAAAGGGTTTCCAACTATGAGATCAAAACCTTTAAAAGGGAAAACTGTTACTTAACTACAATGAAAGATCAAATAATTACTTTTTAAAAAGAATATACTTTGCTCAGATGTATTCAATTAAAATTTAAACTCACTCAAGGAAATGAACTAATTCCAGTGCAAAAATAGACTATCAAAACCGAACACAAAGTTTCTACACACGCAAACCAATAACCAAAGAACTTAGGAAGTTACTTTAAAGGTGCCCCTGCAGAGGCTGAATTTAGCAAATTTTTTCAAATTATAAAAGAACAGATGGCTCTAGTGTACATAAATTGTACTATAACATAGTAAAAATAAGGCCAACTGCTCAAGTTATCATGGAAAGTGAGCTGTAGCCAATATTCAATAAAATGTCTCCAAGGGTACAATACACACTCATAAAGGCCACTTGCATCATAGTCTGAGAGAAAAAGCCCAAATGAGAAATATATAACCTTTGGAAAAAAATAAGCTATTACTTTCCAACTCAAACAAAACACAACACAAGCAAAAACAAACAAAATGAAACAATAAACAAAGGAAATGAAAGGCATCTTGAAGAAAAACTCCTAGATCAAAAACTACTGTTAGATTTCCCTGTCAGACTTCTCAATTGTCTCCATAACCTCCTCAGGAAATCAGAACCGAGATATCTATTTATATCTTTTCTTTTTCCCATTTTACAATAATTGCTTTTCTCCCTTCAAGTTAAAAATTTCTTAGTTGAAATTTTATTCTTTAATTTTCCTCCATTAAAAAATTTAGTAATTGTCACAATTTTTGTTGCATCAAAATTTACTATGGCACCTGTTTCTGTCTTTTTCTCTTGTACTTACAAAAAATTTTATTATATGCTTTATTCCAAAGTTAAATGTCATTACTGATTGATCATGAAGGTATCCTAACTGTATTAGAATTCTTTCTCTCTTTAATTAAAGACTCTATAGAATAAAGACTGTGCCCTTACGCTCACTGAGAAAGAAGGAAAAAAAAACTTGGTAGGCCATAACGAGTAATCCTTATTCTGTGGTTTGACAGATGGCATTTGTAATGAATTTAGACGTATATAAGGAACTATCAAATAGTTGTATCTCTATCAATAAGCAAAAACACTAAAACAGAAAGGGTGTTGCCCAAATAAATACAGTACTTAAAATGACATAAATTCCCTTGTGAAAACAACTTGAGACACTGTCTAAATATAAATTTGCCAGAAACTACTACCTCTCAGAAAAGGGTCTGGGTTGGAGCAGGGGAAAACTTACCATAGAACTTGGACTTAGCCAGAATACTACCACTAAGGCAAAACCCATCCTTCCGGTTACTAACATAAAAGGCGGAGATTGGTGGATGATGGGACACCTAATAAAATTGGGAAAAAATTTAATTAGATAAATATATTATTGTGCTAAAATCAAAAGTTTAACTCTTAAAGTACAATATAAGTAATGTATTTGTTGTTGATATTAAGTAATGTATTTACTGCTGTTGTTAAATATTGTCGAGTCAGTTCTGACTCATAGAGATCATGCATATAGTTTCCACGGTTTTAAATCTTTTCGGGAGCAGAAGACTTATATTTCTCCCAAGGAGTGGCTGGTGGGCTCAAAAACCTACTTTGTGGTTCACGGTCCAGGGTCTATTGTATGGAGCCACTACACTCCCCCAAAAGTAATGTTATGGTAAATAGTACAATTAAACATAGGAGATTCTAGTCACCAGCCTTCAAAATGTCTCCCAAGGAAACTCACTATTGTGTATCACCGTATCAAGGTTGGTTGGTTTGTGTTGTGTAGAAGTGATATTAGGTTATAAAAGATACTGCAGCTTTCATCATAGTATGTCTTTCTCATATTATTAGCTCTGGGAAGCCAGCTTCAGTTTTGTGAGCAATTCTACAAGGAGGACCATGTGTTAAGGAACTGAGTCCTCAAGTTAACAGCCAAACAAGTACACCCGAAAGTGACTTTTCCAGTGCAATCAAGCCTTCATATGATTGCAAAGTTTACTGACATCTTGACACAACCCAACAAGAGACACTAAGCCAGAATCACTCAGCTAAACAGCTCCCAGATTCCTAACCTCTAAATATTTGTGTCTTCAAATAGTAAGTTGTTATTCAGCAATGGATAACAAACAACAATGGTTATTATTCATATGTATTACTGAATAAGTGGTAGGAAACTAAGGAGAGCCTTTAAAAAGATGTTATTTTAATAACCCAGTACCTCCATATATTCACACCTGTTTTCTGAAAATGAAGACAAAACTAAAAGTAAATTCTTCACAAGTTTTGCAATTCTGTGAAACAATTTTGTGAGTTAAAATGCCAGGGTCATAATCTGTACTTTTTGAAACATTAATATAGATGAGCATTTTCAATCTGAGGGTGTATCAAAATTTCTAGAGGAATGGAAATTTTTCAAAAGACACACGGTGTCCTCATCCTTTCCACGCTCAAGGTGAGGATGTGTAAACTAAGGAATCATTATTATTATTAAGAAAGACTGTCATATGATGTGCCCTGAAAACTTTCACTCAATCCACAATAAAAACCTTAAAAAAAAAAAAGACTGTCATATTCTCACGTTTCTATGGGTTGGAGAAAGACTGAAATAATATAGATATACATAGGGTAAAGCAAAAAATAAATTAAAATCCAAGATATTTGACTGCCTACTATGTGTACAACAAAAAGAGAATTAATATTGGAAGTTACAGTATGCCTTCAAGGGCTAACAATTCAGTTTGGAAAATAAATATTCCATATAACAAGTTAAACAATGCAACTGTTAAAAGCTTAGTGAATAATCACATAAGGTAATGCAGATGTTTAAGTGGCATGGATCACTAAAATGAGTAGATTAGGGTTTATTTAGATGAAGTATGGTGCTACTGTTTTTGTGTGCCATGGAGTTGGTTCTGACTCACAGAGATCTTGTATAGGGTTTCCAAGGGATAGTTAGTGAGTTTGAACTACCAACCTTGTGGTTCAAACTGACATTATGGTCTAGTGCTTTAACCCACAGCACCACACCAGACTTCCAAAAGAATAGCCAAAGAAAATAATAATAATGAACCAAACAATGACAAGAACAAATTCTCATGTTAAATCAGGTAGTGTACAGGTTTGACTATTGTGGAGGGCTCAGATAGGCATGTAATTTGAGATAAACTTGGGAAGTTATGGAGGATGTTAAATTTTCCACACAGACAGTTCTAAGTTTGATTTAGAAGCTGGGGAACCACTGGAGAATTCTGAATATGATCAAAAGACAGTTTTAGAAATATGAGTTTAGGCTAACACAAAAAAAGGCAGGAAAAATACAGCTTTACTTTTTGTGAAGAGATACAGTGATTGTCTTAGTAATTGATTAGTAATACTAATGAATACAGGTTTAGTAGTGCGCAGTACTAAAAGATTAAATGCTTACCAAATATTCACAGATAGTTAATCGAGAAGGAGTTTACTAAATTAATGTTATTTATAAAAACATTCCAATAATTTCTGTATCAGTTTTACTACCACAACATGCATTTTGAATACCTGTTCAGCAATATAAAAAGTTTTGCTGTTTGTTCTGGGATGAATCCATAAACAACGAAAGGTCTCACCAAGTATAGGATTATATGGTTTCTTCAGTCCCTAGTACAAACCAAACAAGCTAAAATTACAAATATGAAAGACACAAAATAATTGAAACCAATCAAAATGAGGTTAACTGTGACACATGGGAAGCATCCGTTATAAAAACTTCATAATAGTGACATGAAATAAAGGTAAATGACAAGCCAAAAACAGATAAAAAATGATTAAGCAGTGTGCAATTTTGCTAATTCAAAATGACTCATTAATGTAATCATTAACAAATACCTAAAAATGATAAAAGTAAGGAAGTAATACAAAACTGGAGAAATTAAAAACAAAAACATTACCTTTGGCTTTTTATAAAATCCTGACAAATACCATTTCACTACTTTCTTCAAACGGAAATAAGGATTTTCTTCAAGAGCAGCCCTGAAAATTAATATGATAAACACAAATTAGTACAAAAGGTATCGCAAATTCTACTATATAATTGTCAAACCATCTTGTTCGTGATATATTTGAAAAGCGTAATTTATATTTAAAAGAGATCAGAAAAACAACTACAAAAATCAATTACCAAGAATAATTTTTCAGAGTCTAGTTTTTTTCCTTCCCATTTTCCAAATTATTTGATATACTACCAAGGTCTTTGTTAAAAACGATTTTTGAAAAATCTCTAAACCAGTTTTTCAAGTAGGATTGTGTAGAAGCCTGGGTGTTACTCGTAGGTCTATGAGAAAATGTGATTGAGATTGGGGGGAAAAATAAAAAACACTAGATTTTGAAATTTATACACTGTGTGATGACTAGCATTAGCAATGGACAGTGGCCAAGCAGCCCCATTTATGACTCCATGAGCTCTCTGTGTCAGCGAAAAATCACGTTCTCTTGGTCAAGTCCATTCTCATTTATTAGGCTAGTTAGAGGCTGATGATAACTGATGAGCATACTGTAATACATGAAAGAGAACAGAGGGAGCCTCTCCTTTGCCAGTTACCTTCCTCATCCAGTATGATTATACAGTTTCTTAAACCTTAAAAATACAAAAGTTACAAATTATAAATAGGGAAGAGTTAATACCTAAGATCTATTGACTAGTGTGACAATGTAAGGAATACTGCCTTTCTCAAATTGAAAGGCTGCACTTTTGTAGAGTAAGAACTTTCTGCTTACTCTCTTCCTATCTTGATTTCAATTCTCTTCCTATGCTAATTTTATTTTAAATTTATGTATTTCTTGTTGCTATTAAGAGTCCTGAAAAAAAAAAAAAAAAAGAGTCCTGGTGTGGCACTGCAGGATAAGCACTTGACTGAAAGGTCAGTTTGAACCTCAAAGTTGGCAGTTCAACCTCATCAGTCGCTCCTCAAAAACCATATACAGGGTGATTATGAGTTGGAACCAACTCGACAGCACTTAACAACAGCTGCAGCATTAAGTGTCAATTCAAGTCGGTTCTGACTCAGTGACCCTGCATCGGGTTTCCAAGGAGCAGCTGGTGGGTTTGAACAGTCCACCCTGTGGTTTGCAGTCCAGTGTTGATTTTACAGCACCACACTGTAGTTCAAAATTCAACACAACACAAAAAAAGTATACACCCCATCTTCTACAGTTTCTACAGTTAACTTTTTAAAAATCGTCTTATTCTTTTTTTAAAAAAAGTTTTCTTTAAACATAAATAAGAAAATAGGTAGTCTTAACTCCTTTTCTAAAAAAATTAAAATGGTACCATATGATACAGACTATTATGCATATAATCCTAGAGGTCCCTATATTTCAATTTACAAAGTTTTGTCTCATACGTGGATGGATGTATCATACTCTGTTAACCAGTGCACTATTGTCCACATATTAGGGTTATAACCAATTCTATACTATTAAGATTTATGTTGTGGTAACTTTAAATATATACCATTATATATGGATAGTTGTGGCTGTAAGAGCAATTACCAGAAGTGAGATTACTGGATCAAAGAATGAATGCACTTATGATTTTGGTAAATACTGCCAACTCTCCTTCAAAGGAAGGTATTGCACTATTTTGTATTTTGCATCAGTGATATATGAGTGTTTATTGCCCCAGACAGCCTTTCCAGCTGTGTGTGCTGCTAGAAAAGCACAACGTTCAATTTGGAACAATGGGCAGATATCAAGATCTTACTGCCATTCAGAGGAACTTAAACTTATAATCCAAGAGAAACTTCTACAAGAAATGTAAGAACATATAAGGCTGAGCTGGGGTATACAAACTTCAGGAATACTTCTCACTGAATGAATTAATTACTATATCCTACTGTACCTTGCATCTATAATTTTCTTATTTTGAGTGACATTTACAGGTTTAAGAGTTTTTTTCATGTCTACATTACTGATACCAAATCATTTCCTTCACTTCTTTTCCTATTAGGTTGCTGATGTTTTTCATCTCAATACTTAGGAGCTGTTTTTATTTTTAAGGAGATTAACATTTTTTTTCTATCATATGTTGCTGTTGTTAAATGCTGTTATCCTACAGCGCCACACCAGAAGTCCATATAATATCATGTAATATGTTTTAAAAAAATCTCAACTTCCTCAATTATCCTTTGATTAAGCTTATGTTTTATTTTTTATCCTCCAGGGCTCATTAACACAACCAATCGACAAAGCAGAATATAGAAACGGATGCATTTTGGTGCTGTTGTTAAGTGTTGTTGAGTCAATTCCAATGCATAGTAACCCTATATATGATTTCCGAGGCTTCGAATCTTTGTGAGAGCCAAAAGCCTCAACCTTCTCCTTGCAGAGTAGCTGGCAGTCTCCAATCATGGTCCCTGTGGTTTATAGTACAGATTCTAAAGACTCTGGTAACAGTACCAGGACTTTGCTTCTTAGAAAATATGGTGCTTTGAAATACCACTGCAACTGGACTACAGTAATAACTGAGACTTGAAACAATGGTATCTTTTACTGTGTCTCCAAGAAACCACTGGAACAGAGGTGGATAGCTCTTACTCCTTTATACCGCTTCCTTGTTGCAGACTTGGTCAGAATTATATCTGGGATGCGCTAGCAGGAAGAAAAGTGAAGATGAGTGTGTGCAGTGGAGAGTTATGCCAAGAGCCAGCATCCAGAGAGCATACTGGCTGCAAATGCTCCAAGCATGTAGAAATAATAAATAGAAAAAGCATAAGCCCCAGGACGAAGCCTGAATGAAGACTCGGCAGAGAAGAACAAATAACGCTAACCACCTCTCCCCATGTTAGGTCAGTGAACAGTCAGAGAAGAGGCTGTGAAAGGAGTGTTGTTGGATAAGGAATACGGTGGCATTCCTGTCTTCCTCAATCTTGTGATGAGTAAAGTCAATTTCATAGATGGAAACATTATGGCAGAGTATTAAGTATGCATCTTATTCATTTCAGTTAAAGAAGTTGTAGAGAAGAAGGAGCATGTACCATCAGTGGCTGATGCTGACAACAAGGCATAGGAGTTATGAATTGGGCTTCTAACCTCACGGTCAGCAGTTCAAAACTACTAGCTGTCCCACAGGAGAAAGATGAGGCTTTCTGCTCCCATAAAGATCTATAGCCTTGGAAATCTGATGCAGAGTCGCTGTAAGTAGGACCTGTCTCAACACATAACCACCACACCAGCAATCACTGAAAATGGTACTCCAGACAATCTCTTAGGCCAAAAACGATCTTCTATTTTGAGAAATAAGAATTTACTTACTCCGATAGGAAATCTGCATGATAGTAGTAATCTGAAAGTTTATCCAGGAAAGAACGAGGCTCCAAAATAAATGTAGGCAGAACCACCCTGGACAGGTCCATGCCAGGACGGACTTGCTTCAACAAGGTCCAGATAAGACTTTTGTTTTCTTCAGACACAGTTTCTGTTTGACAAGCCTCGCCTGCCTTTATCAATTAACAAAAAATATTTATTTTAGACACCAAAATATATAGACAACTACTGTTTAGTTTATATATTCTTTATAGCACTATTCCTTTTTTTTTTTTTTTAAATTATTTTGCTGTAAAAATGTAAACTTTATTTCATTTTTATTAAGTTCTTCACACAGGAATAGAGGAAAGCATGATCCCTTCTGAATATTCAAAATGATGTTATACATGATGATGAATACATTTCAGCAGATTTTTTCCAATAAAAACAAAAGCCCAAACACCATCTGAAGACAAAATTTAAAACTCATATTGCTTTTCTGTTTTTCTAGAATGTCCTTAGAAGTTATGACTGATTATTTCTTTGAGCACATAACTTAAAAAGCGCTAAACTGCAAAGCTGTTTGAACTGCAAGGTTGGTGGTTCAAGCTCACCAGGTGCTCTTTGGAAACCCTTTAACAGGGTCATGATGGGTTGGAACCAACTCGATGGCACTTAACAACAAGCCTTAGATTATTAAGAAAATAATGTTTATCAAAAAAATGGCTTTGACTTAATGATAAATGTCAGCATTTATCTTTAAAAAGTAGTCTTTCTGAGATGGGAGTAGCCCAGTTTAAAATGAGTCGTAAAATGAAAAGCCAGCTGTCATGGAGTCAATTCTGACTCATGGCAACCCCAGGTGTGTCAGAATAGAGGTTGTATAGGATTTTCAATGGCTGATTTTTCAGACGCAGAAAGCCATCTTTGTCAGGAGTCTTGGAATGGAATCGAACCACCAACTTGTCAACTAACAGTGCAGTAGCCATTTATAATACCCAGGGACTCTACATTGTGTCTTACTCTTGGCTTTTTAAAGAAGGAGTATGAGTAATATGAAATCACATGCCCTTATCTGCTGTCTGCTTTCTATCTGTTTTTAGAATCTTAAAATACATCTGCTTAATTCTTGTAACTACTTCAGCATCTACTGGAGCTCTGGTAGCGTAGAGGTTACGAATTGGGCTGCGAACCTTAAGGTCAGCGGTTCGAAACTACCAGGGGCTCCGCGGGAGAAAGATAAGGCTTTCTACTCACGTAAAGATTTACACCCTCGGAAACCCTGTACAGGGTTGCTATGGGTCGGAACCGACTCGACGGCACTTAACAACAACAACTTCAGCATTTACTTAAACATTTAAATTATTACTGTTTAAAATAAGTAAGTATTTATGGATAAAATTCAGGTAAGTAATCAAAACTCATGATCCCATCTGCCACACAGAGAAAACCATTATAAAGGTTCTGGATATTTCAGACTTTATAGTTACCTCTCCAGTTATCAGATTGGAAACAAAACATCCCATTAATTTTCTGTATCCATTCTCAAACTTCTTTTGACACCAATAAATATACACTTATGCTATCATTCATTATAAATAAAAGTGGCAAATGACTTATCTTGTTCATAATCTACTCAACTAAATGTCACATTTTAGTTATTCTAAACAGCATAATAAGTATCTTCGTCCATGTTCTTTCTTCATTAGTTAATAATTGCCTTAAGACAAACTTCCTGAAGTGGAATTTTTGAGCTACAAATTTTGTATATTATTAAAGCTTTTGCTAAATTGTCCTTTAAAAAAACTTCTAATGAGAGGGGAGATGCACAAGAATGCCCAAGCTTGTAGACCATACTCATTCGACCTAGATTCAATGGCTTGATGGTCAGAACTTGACTAGAGGAAGATAAAATAAGAAAAATTTTGATAAAGAAAACAAGTGTAAATTGCTACAATTTGATGAACTTGACTTATACTTATGGATGAAGTAGCTCAAAATACCAACTGAGAGTGAAGGAGTCTTCACATCAAGTGTCAATTCTATCCACTCCGTGTACAGGGTTGAGAAGGGCAGGCAACTTAGGCATTGGCTACTTAAAATGTGTGTGTGGGGGGGGTGGGGGGTGTCTATAAAGGCACAAAGTGACTGGCTTAAAAGTTTTCAAGAAGGAGTTTTGTTTCAGAGTGCAGTGGGAAGGTAGAATCCCCACTGAATAGTTTTCATCTTGTCTAGATGGGTCTGATGAAAGGAGATAGGGTTAAGATTGTTATGATTCAATAGTAACTGTTATCATGACTAATTGCGATAGTCACAACTATAAAAGTAGAACTTTTATAACAAAAAGGGGGGAGTAGTTAATCATATAGTCCAGGAACAGAGGACCCTAGGACCATCAAGGGAGAAGAGCATAAGTGGAATATGGGACCTTATCCAGAGAAACAGTGACACCAGAGATGAGGGCAGAGATGAGGACATGGCAGCTGAGGACTCTAGACTCATCAAAAGAGAAATGCTGTGTGCTGACAGCCAGGAGGCAGGCTTGCAGGATGTGCCCTTGGGTTGTTTCAGTGATTATATATTCCTAAGTGTTTTTGTGTTGTTGTTATTGTTAGGTGCAATCAAGTCGGTGCCGACTCACAGTGACTTTATGCACAGCAGAATGAAACACTGCCCAATCCTGGGCTAACCTCACTACTGATGCCACACTTGAGTCCATCGATGTTGCCTCTTGGCCAATCCATCTCGTTAGGGGTCTTCCTCTTTCTCTCTGCTCTTCACCTTACTAAATATGATATCCTTCTCCAGACACTGGTCCCTTCTGACATTATGTCCGAAGTATGG